ACGTTTTAATAAATAGCCTTTTATTATTATTCACCAAATGAATTAAAACATTACTGCTCTCAGCAACATGCAAATGTGGTAACATGTAACAGTTTCTTGGCAGCAAGAGTGAAATTTACTCTAAGATTATCTTAGATATTTGAAATAATTTGTATAAAAGAACATTTGGAAAACATATATCATATGAATTGGCTGGTCAAAAAAAAAATCTAAATTTCTTTCCTGCATGGCTCCACCAGCTTTATGCAGGATGGGAGTAGTTAGTGTAGGGAAGGGTTTTGGTCATAGGTGGCCTTGAATAATTGTGGCACTAGCTCATGTGTCAGTCTTCAAAAGTCTTGGTCTGTTTTCCTGATGATGTTGAGGAAGCTTAGACAGCTTACTGGACCTTCTTTTCAGGCTGTTTCTAGGAGTCCTCTTAGATGTTAGTATTGTCTTCAAATAATTCATTATTCTCTTTAATCTAGAAATTGAGATAGAAGCAGAAGTCGAATTTAGACTCTGTGAACAGGGTGTGATGACTAACTATAATTTCTAACTTGACACAATGTAGAATCACCTGAAAACAGAGTCTCAATGAGGGATTGCCTACCTTGGATTGGCCTGTGAACATGCCTATGGTGGATTATCTTAAAGTTAATTGATGTGGGAGCACCCAGCCTAGTGTGGGCAGCACCACTCCCTAGGCAGGGGGTCCTGAACTATACTAGAGGATTCCTGCTGAGCACAAGCAAGAGAGCATGCATGCATTTACTTCTTTCTGCTCTTGCCTGTGGCTGTGATGTGACTAGCTGCTGGAAGTACCTGCCTTGACTTCCTCACAATAATGGACTGCAAACCTGGGACTATAAACTGGAATAAAACCCTTTCTGCCCTAAATTGCTACTTGTCAGTGTTCTTTCATCACAGCAACAGAAATGAAACTGGAACCCCAAGGCTTTACGGAGTGGGGCTAGTGTGGAATTGTCTTAGAGCAGATGAGCGAGGACTGGGACCGTGGCAATGGCAGCTCTGCTGTTCCATCCTGGGGACCAGAACAAGGAGCAGCTTGATGTTGTGACAGATCTTTGAAGGGTTTTCATCTTGTAAAGGAGAGCCACAATCTGGGGGTTGTAGTGGTGGGGAGGGAGAAGAGAGTAAGCCCAGAAACAACCAAGATTTAACACCAAAGAGCAAAAGCATCTGTTAGACAACACAATTTGATGGTTTCCACTACAAGTTTCACTAGTTGGCATTTATTGATCCCTTCACACTTCTGTCGCTTTAAAAAAAAAAGAACTGCCAGGGGCTGGAGAGATGGCTCAGTGGTTAAGAGCACCGTCTGCTCTTGAAGAAGCTGCTCTGGCAGAGGACCACCCACAGAGTGGCTAACAACCGTATATATCTCCAGTTTGGGGAGAATCTGATGCCCTCTTCTGACTTCCGTAGGCATTGCCTGACATGGATGTACTTGAATGAATGCCAGCAGTACATTCATATACATAAAATAATAATAAATAAACATTTAAAAAACTTGTCATGCAACCAGCATCTCCTTGCCTCCACCTCCCGGGTCCTAGAATTACAATTGTATGTCATTTTTCAGTTGACAGATAGGCAGCAGTCTCTGAAGACATGTACAAGAAGAACATTCCCTTCACTGGATCCTTCCTCTGCTCTACCCAGCATATACCATGAAGCTGAATCCAGTAAGTTTGGTAGCTGGCTATGTAGCTAATCAGTGTATTACAGAGGTTACCTTATGTTTTATCTCAAGTGTTTTCCTCATCTTTTTTTTTTTTTTTTTGATAAACATTTAAAAAACCTGTCATGCAACCAGCATCTCCTTGCCTCCACCTCCCAGGTCCTGGAATTACAACTCTATGTCATTTTTCAGGCGGCAGCCTCTGAAGACATGTACAAGAAGAACATTCACTTCACTGGATTCTTCCTCCACTCTACCCAGCGTATACTATGAAGCTGAATCTGGTAAGTTTGGTAGCTGGCTATGTAGCTAATCAGTATCTTGTGGAGGTTACCTTGTGTTTTATCTTAAGTGTTATCCTCATCTTTTTTATTTTTATTTTTTGAGTTGCAGTTTCCTTTTGTTATTATAGGCCCAGGTAGGTTAATGTGCGGATTTCTGAGGAATTTAGTTTAGCCTGGGACAGATTGATCCTATTACGATGGTGATTCCATATAGATTTTGTAGGATTTTGTAGTTGTGAGGCTAAAGTGATAAGTGATAAGAGCTGGCAATTGTGTTCAGGAAGGAACATAGATCCCAGGACCTCTGGCCTGCTCACTTACACAGAACACTCATTTAGATAAAGTGCTCTTAGCCGGTGTCTCCATGATTGCTTTCTATATGCCAAATCTTCATCACATGATAGCATGTGATTTAACTTTTTGAGAAAGAAAAATCTCACTTTGTAGTCCCGAATGGCCTGAAACTCACTATATAGACCAGGCTGGTCTTGAACTCACAGAGATTTGCCTGCCTCTGCCTCCTGGTGCTGCAATTAAAGGCATGTACCACCATACCCACCTGTAGTTTAATTCTTATGCCATTATCTCTATTTAACACAGGAAGAAAAGTTTGGGGAAGTTGAGTAACTTATGCCCAGATGATCTGACCCCAAGGACCGTCTATTAACCTTTGTGCAAAAGTGAGCATCACCCGTGCCCTGACAGGGTTATATCCCTGATATTTTCTCTCAACCAAATTATTTTTGTCAGCCTTATCCAAAGCAATTGTATACGTGAATAGGATTTGAGCTTCTTATTAGGAAATAATAAATTCAAACTGAGTTAAAAAAAACACAACAAAATACATTTAATACTGAGCATTTGTGTTCATTAAGCACTGAATAGATGGGCAGACTGCCTTCAGACTGGGAAATCCCAGATGCATAGCTGTGGGAGCCTTCAGACCACGCCAAATTCAGCACAGGATGGAGTGGAAGGGGCTCAGATTACAGCCACAGCCATACCTGCTGGGACCTGCAGAATAATGTGATTCAAGACAAATATTCTAGTAATTCTTGAACTTGTTTTTCATTTGTACAGTATTTACAAGAAAGTAACTTAAAACGCCTCGTATACCCTGGGCAAAGAGAAATTTTTTATACAAAAATCTACAGGATGACTAGTGGGTGAATTCATTCAGAATCAGAGACATACATTGGTACTTTCAACAAATTTACAAACTCTCTTTTACCTTATTAAAATGTAAAGGCGGTAAGTTCATCTCATCCTTACTACGTGCTTCGTCATTGAGGCTTTCATCCAATGTTTCAATTGAATCTGCTTCAAAAATAGCCATTGTTAGCTTAACCACTGAGCTAGTCACTCTTTTAGCTAGTTTAGCTATCAAACTACGCCAGGTTCAAGGCACAGATGCTCAGGATCTGTGATGTGATATAACATCAGTGGGAGATTTTAAAACAGGCTTATATTGTAAAAATATATCAGAAAGGCATAAGAACTTGAATATGGGAGACAAAATGATCTGTTATTTCAGTATTACATTAATGTGTATTGGGAGTGTCAGGAGTATCATAAGTAATGAGGACCCACAATAAGAGATAGAGAACTATGCTTTTTGAATTTTTTAGTTGGCAGAAAGGACAGGTCAACAAATGTGAAAATAGAAACAGATGTAGCACACATGGGACTGTGGAGCAACAAGGAGAGTCACACTGGGCTTTGTGGGTTTGAGATGATCACTCATGACTGCCTGAAGGAAAAGCCATTGAAAAGATAAGGCAGAGCAAGTCCATGAACGAAGAGATGTGGTATAGGCCAGGTTGGAGGGTTCCGGGCGGAAGGATCAGGGTGATCAGACTCAGGAGTTAGAGACCACCTTCTGTTAGAGGGGAACCATTGGGAGTTTGGTATGTCTAAGATTTGGACGAGGAGAAGAGGTGCAGCTGCAGGAGTAGATGGTGAAGGACTCCAGCATCATAATCTGTAGGTGCTTAGTTTCAATGTCAGGGAGAACTTATATGATGACAGGATCTTACGTCCACAAAATTTCAAACTTATTGGGGCTGGAAAGCATACTGTTCTTTCAGAGGACCCAAGTTTGGTAACCTAAATCAGGCAGGCAATCCAATGCTAGTGGCCTCTGAGGGTACCTGTACACACATGCACATAGTCTCTCTCTCTTTCTCTCTCTCATATAAATATATAATTAAAAAATAGTAAAAAAAGTTTCAAAATTAATATAGTACTTATGTATTAAATTCTCAAGAAACTTTCAAACAAATTTAATTCTTACCTAATGAAGATAAAATTCATTAAAAATTAGCATCATAATATTGAAGTACTGTTATTTTTACTTGACATGTGATAGGTCTTTTCCACCTTACAACATAGAAAACTAATCTTTAAAAAATATTTATTTTCTTTTATTTTATTGATATGAGTGTTTTGTCTACATGTACGTAAGTGCACCTGTGTCATACAGTGCCCGAAGAGGCCAGAGCTCTTGGAACTGGAGTTACAGATGGTTGTTATCTGCCATGTGGGTACTGGGAATTGAACCACAGTTCTCCATAAGAGCAACCAGAACTCTTAAAAAATGGGGTGGGGGGGCTCCCAGTAGCCCCAGCAGGCTTGGAGCTCACTATGTAGATCAGGCTGGTCTCCATCACACAGAGATCCACTTGTTTCTGCCTCCTGAGTGCTGGGATGAAGGATGTGCGCCACCATACCTGGCTCCAAAATTGATCTTTTAATGACTATATAATATCCAATCTTATTGATGGCTGAGTTGATTTAAATATTATATAGTTTGACTAATTCTAATTTTTAATTGTACTTCATTCTTTTATATTTTTTGAAATACATATCTGAAATTGAATTATTTAATAAAAATGCAGCAACTTATTATTTTGGAAACTTCATAATTTACTTTATTAATGTATACTGGTATTAATAAAGTAAGAACATAAATTGTCAGCCAGGCATGGTGGCACGCACCTTTAATCCCAGCACTAGGGAGGCAGAGGCAGGCAGATCTCTGTGAGTTCAAGGCCAGCCTGGTCTACATAGTGAGTTCCAGGACAGCTGGGGCTACAGGGGGTACAGGGAGACCCTGTCTCAAAAAGACCAAAAAAACAAAACAAAACAAAACAAAACAAAACAAAAAAAACCATAGATTGTCAAGT